AAAAAAAATTTAAACCCTTTTTCGAAGTCGTGTGAGTTTCTAAATAGTTGCTAGATTCGCTTTCCCTTTATTATATTCGAAGCGTGATCATTATGCAGTGAGTTTACCCCAGGGCAGAAACAGTTTAACAATCTCGAGTCTTATTAATTTTTTCCCCGGTCTTTTTTCCCTTTTAAATTAATTTTCATGTTTTTTTTCAGTTTTTCTAATATATGGGGCAAATTTTGCAAAAAAAATTCAGCTTCGACAATCAAAAAATAATTTCTTCTTTCTGTCTCTTTGAATTGCACATATTTTTAATTCTTATTGCGAGACTATTAGTACTAGTGTTTATATAAGAGATGCAGTTTGTCCGTGGTACTGAAATATTTCTCAACCAGGATTTTCTTTGTAGTGAAGGCGGAAATTTTTCATTGCTGGTAGGAATTTAGATTCTTGAAAAATATTCCATAAAGAACACGGATTGGCTTTTAAAAAGGCAATTTTTTTGGAAAAAATGGAGATAAAAAAGAAAACCCAAAAAAAGCCAAATTATCATTATTGTAATGTAAGACTTAGTATTATACACCATGCTTTTCAAATTGTGATTGTGGAGATATATATACAAACACACAATCCTCAACCTTTTAAAAAAAGATGCATAAAATGGGAAATTAAAAAATTTTTAAGTTTTAAAAAAAGATTATTTATAGCATGCAGAGTATAAGCTTGGGAAGTGAACATTTAGGGGTTTTTGAGTTCTGCATTTATAAAATAACAAGTAATTTTTAAAAAAAGTAAGTGAATTCTTACTTATGTCTCAACAAAGGAAATTTTTATTTCAATTACTTTTTATTAAATAGATACAATTAATGTACATATGACAGAATCACAATATTAAGTGACAAAATAGAAAGCAATTTTCCTTTCCATATATGGTATTGGACTATTTTTGTTTTGTTTGTCTCTATTTATTTATTAGTTAAATTTATATAATTATTCAAATAAAATAATATAGAAAAAAGTAAACCACATTCTCAGAAATTAGACAATCCCACGTGGGATTCGATCCCACGACCTTCGGATTAGAAGTCCAATGCGATATCCATTACGCTACCGACACAAAAGAAAAATTTTTCTTTTTTATATTTGTTGGACTATTATTTTTTTTTTATTCATTTTTAATTTAATTAATGGATTAATATTTGTAAAAAGTATTAACATGAAATGTCACCTACTACAATTTTAAAAAAATTATTTGAACTTGAATGGATGAATAGAAAATTTTTTTTAAACCCGATTGAAAATTTGAACAAGATATATATATATATATATATATATATATATATATATATATATATATATATATATATATAAAACGTGTGTGTAAGGAGAGAGTGAACTAATAGCAGGAATTGAAAAATATTGTAAAAAATTTAAAATTAACTAAAATAAAATTGTTTCATTTTCGCAATCTGTTAGTTATTATGCTTAGTTATGCGCAGTAAAAATGTGCCTTTGTTTGGAAGTTTTTAGGCAAATAAATTGACCACTTAAAGGGTTACTAAAAGAGGACTTAAAAAAGGTTTTGGGAAAATTTTCTTTTCTTTTTTGGAAGACTATTATTATATATATTTTTTCAACTCTTTTTTTTCAAAATTTTGAAACATCTCTTTTTGCATTACTTCCCATCTATGCAAAACATAAATAATATTTTCAGTCATATTTATCTCACAAGTGGATGCGCTATAAATGAATTTCCCATAAAAATGTTATGGCGAAAGTATGGAAGTACTAAATATCTTCAAGTAATGGATATGAATTTAAACTTGCATTGCTTTGCACAATCAGTGTCAAAGTGTCATCTTATGTCTTTCACTAATTTTAACATGATCGTGTGATCTAGAACAGACAGCGTTTGTATACCATTTGTGAAGATAAAACTCACTTTTTCCTAACATTTCCAACTATAAAAACAAATTTGTTTCCCCTTAGTAAAAAGTTTTTGCTTTAAACACAGAACGTCATCAGTATAAAAATTGTGCAGCAATAAACCCGCTACTTGTGAGAATTCTGCAACTTCATTCATAGCTAATTGTTTGAAAACCAGTATCACTAAATAAGATGTAGATGTAGTTCCACACATGATAGTATGCAACCTCAGTTTTAAATGGTTTTGAAATTTCATATTCTAAAATCCACTGATTTCACTGAGTATTCCAACCTGTCGATTATTCTTTGTAAATATCTACTGATTGGTATGCTCTGAAAAAAACTCTTTATATTATCACAAGTCCTTGAAAACCTGACGTTCGAGGGCTCAAATATTCTAATTGTGAAATCCAACTGTGTATCGGAATTCCTTATTTCGTGTAAAACCTTTTAGGGAATATATAATTTAAATCATACTATTTTTATTGATGGCTTATGGTTGTAATGTTGAAATTTGTGTGTGCTTCAACTACCAAAATATATTTTTTGATATTTCAATTTTTTCTTTTAACTGTAGCCTACACATCACAACATCCAAAGTGAAAAAAAATCAACCCGTTTTAAAATAGTGAAAAACCGGGTTTTATTTCATATTTACTAATTTTTCTATTGAGAAAAGAGTAAGAAAAATATCATTTTATATCACTTTGTAAAAACGGATCTGCTAATTAAAATATTTGAAATGATTATTCAAAAATTTTTCTTATTTCGGAATGAATTATTTGGAATTCTTCGGTTTTCCAAAAAAGTAATGGGGTAATAATAAGTGTTCAAAAAATTAAAAAAACAAAACATTTTTTTTTTTAAAAACGGTTAAAAAGAAATAAGCAAAAACCTGTACCCTGATCCGTTTTTCCCAACTACGAATAAACTTTCTTTCCAAGTTGTGATGGCCTAGGGGGATGGTAAAACCTGGACGCTTCCTTGAGGAACGGGCACAATATATAAGGCACCCACCTATCCTCTTATTCTTCAGTAAAGGGAATTTTTGGTGAGTTTTTCAGTTAAATGAATTATCAGAAATGCTCAAATTTATTATGTACCCCGATGTAATTTTTTGATAAACTGAACTTGCCCCAATTGTTTGGGTTGGGGAAGAATTTGAAATATAACTTATTGATTTCTAGTCTAGTTCAATATGGATTAAAAACTTTGTTGAAAAAGGAAAAAGTTAAAGATTTAAAAAGAAAGATTAAAAAAATAAAGAAAAAAAATAGTAACGAAATTTTGGGAAACATTAAATTCAATTTAGATACATTTAACTGTTTGAAAAGGCAGACATTTTTTTAACCTATTTTTAACGACCTATGCCTAGAGTCCTTATTTTCAGGGGTGAATAAATTAAAGATCCCTTTGAAACCCTTGGAAGAGGGTAACCCTGCATTTTGCTAAAAGTACCATCTTCAATCCCAATATAAGTTATTTGTCATCCAATCTGCAACAGCGGGAAATCACCCCTAATGTTACTTTATAAAATTTTTTAATTCCCGTATATAACTAAAACTTTTTACTACTATTAAGTACGCAATGAATTTTTTGTTTTTGTTAGTATTTGGTTTTATTTTTTTTAGCAAAATCCCAAGTCAAAATTATTTGACAGCATGTCAATCTCGCAAACTTTCTTTAAAAAAAATGGCATGTTGACCCCCAAGGTTCGCTACCCTGGCCTGGGGTTTTGGTAAAAAATTTGGAGCGGGGAGTATTGGAAACTCGATTCCTGGTTTCACTGAAGACCTGCTGCGTAGAGCATGGTAAATATCTGTGGAGGCTCCATGTCCTCCCATTGGGGAGGTAGTTAGGAGAGGGAGGTGCTACGTCACTTGACCAAAATTCAAAATTACCAGATCCGTCGCCAATAGTCCTCGTGTTGCGTTATAGTGCAACGTTAATATATTTCTCACTCACTCTTCACTTTTTGAATCACCTGAACTCGTAAATTTAACTGCTAAATTTTGAACTTTGATTATTCTTGTATATAAAAGAACACCATTTGTGTTTATTTTTCCTTAGGAGCCTAACATATGTTTAATACGAGTATAATTTGCGAATAGCGTAGATCAACGTGTTCCACGTTTTCTTAAGTCATGTTCCCCTTGATCTTTCATCACTACTCCACGTAACCTGTCTCTCATTATGTATAAATAGTAGCATTTTTGTATGTACAGGTTCATTAACATATAAAGTTTTTATTTTTAATTTTATCAGGCATGACAAAATAGGATGCATTCATAACTATACACATTGGATTAAAACTTTTAAGGTATCCGACTACGTTCGGAACGTGTTTTTTAAAAAAGGATAAATGGATAATTTTCATGATAGGTGCCCAATTAGATTAGAATACATGTAAAAGTTTTGTTTACGGACATTTGAAAAAAAACAAATTATTTAAATACAATATTTCGGAAAAAAAATTAACTTAAAATTTTTTTTTTTAAAATTTTTCCTTTTGAAAAAATGTTTCTATTATAAAAATTTTCCTTATATAAATTAGACCTTGTACAGAGGCTCAACTATCATTTTGAAACATTCACATTATTTTCAAGTTACAATCCATTGGGAAAAAATTATCGACGTTTTTTTTAAAAAAGTCTCCCCTTTTGGTCGTCAAAAAATGGATAAACCCACTTTTTGTTTTATATTTAAAAAAAATTTCTAGTTGAGCCTCTGTACAGAGGTCCGAGCTATATACGGGGAAAAATTTTAAAAATAGAAGCAATTTTCCAAAAAAGGGGTATTTTGGAAAAGGGGCATTCTATGTTAATTTTTGTCAAATTAATACTTAAAAAAATTTTTTTAATACTATTCTTTAAAAAAATTTTTTTATACATTTTTTAATCTAAAATAACACTAAATATCATAAATAAATTTTCCATTTATACTTTTTCCAAAAACACGGTTTTGGAACGTAGTCGGGTACCTTATGAAGTTTTTCAATCTGTTGGTTATTCTCTCCAAAAATAATGCTAGAAACTTATTTTAAAAAATTATTTAGATAATGAAAATAGGATAATTAAATTTTCAATTATAGTATATTTCCAAATTAATTACAGTAGACTGCACTAAAATATAGTTCAATTGGGTATTGTATAACATACAACATTTGAAAAAAATTGTTTAATTTATCTTTTAGTTATGCAATTTAAATGTAACTCGACCATATAAAACATTTAAGAAACGATGATCCACACATAATGAAAAAAATTAAAGAAATACTAACTGTTCTTAATAGGATGTCATGATGTCAAACGGGCAAAAGAAAAAAAAATATAACGTAATAAAAAAGTTAAGATGTCGCAACTCCTCTCGTTAAGTGTTTTTCTTATGATTGTAAAAATAATCCTTTCATTTCAATCTATCTATTTATATATCCACCTTTACATCTCTTTTCCATGTTTTTCTTCATGTACCCATGGGAGTTTTGGCTCCCAAAGATGGAGAAATGTTCAAGTATTATTAAACCTGTTTTTGTGTGGTAGATAGAGACCACATAAAACAAAGAGCACAAAAAATATTCGAAGATTTCATTAATACTTACATTAAGCAAAAATATTTTTTCTCGACATTCTATAAAAATCTTATTTCGGTGAAAAAAAGGGGGGGATAAAAAAATCGCACTTAAAAATAAATTAATTATTTAAAAATTTAGGGGAAAGTACTTCCAAACAAAAAAAAATAATTAAATTCCACATGGAAACATTTTTTAAAAAATTTATATTTCTCATTTATTGTAACAGATCTTTTACGCGAGCCTTCACTTAACCCCCTTGGGGTAAAAATTCTTCCTTTTTAAATGTTGTTCTACTGGCTTTCTCAAAGAAGAAGAAGACATGGTTTATGTAAATGGGAAAGGGGTTTTATTTAAGCATTAACTTTTAGATACGCGAAGTTAGTGGTTAGTGGAAAGTAGATGAGAGTTACTCTACGATTAATTGCTGAATAATCCAAGATTGTTAAATGAAGATTTAGTCAACAAAGTTTGAACTGAATAAGAACAACCAGAGGTCGAATAACTGAGTAAAAATTATGGTAATTTAGATCGAAGATAATCAAAGCGTTCCAAGAGTAAGTTCATTAAATTATATTTAAATATTAAGTATCTTTTCTGCAATGTGATTGCTCCTATACTTA